ACTTTCTTAAAAATGCAGAAGAGAATGATATGTTACCTGTCTCCAGGAGATGGTCAATGTGGGAATGTGCTCATGGAAACCCTCAGTTCATAAAGATGTCTGTTTATTTCTCATAAAACTCTTTAGTCAAACACTCTGCCAAATTTCTGTATCAGAAATTAAGCATAAAACACTCCACTTTCTGTTGCTGCCTATGACTCTTAATATTTTGAGAAAAAACAAAAGGTAAATAAAACGGAAGGAATCAAGGAGATTAACCATTAGAAATAAAAAATGAATCACCACACTGAAGAAAAAAAGCTTAAATTCAAGGGGATTTTTATTTCAAATGGTAATGGGGCCTGTTGGTTCAAGTGAAATCACATAAGAGCTATTTTGCTCAAGTCTTTTCCAAGTGAAAAATTGTCAACAGGATTAAAGAAATATATTTGAATTCTAATATATGCTCATAAGAAACTAGTGTAAAACATTTACAAAATTCTTCTCCCTAGGTAATATTCCCCAGTTCACTTTAAAGTCCCAAATGAAAGCTGACAGACTGTTCTACTGCAGACTGAGATCTTTTAAAATGGTCTCAGATCCCTAATGCATGAGTCAATTAAAGTGCCTGGCGCTCCTCCTCCCCGCAGAGTGTATTAGTCTGATTGCTGCTGCCTGTTCTCCCCGCCTATGATTTCCATGCACCCGTTGTTCACAGTAGAGAAAAAGCTCACTAATGTATTACCCCTAAAATGAAAAACCATTCTCTCCTGCTAATAAATGCTAGGCTACAGTAAGCAGATGAAGAAGTTTAAAAAGGAAAACAGGGAAAGAACATTTAACAAAACCTGATGTCCTCTGGTTTGTACTGCACCTGAAAATCACTTGGAACTTAACCAGTGAGGTTAAAGGAAGAGGCCTGTGGCATGAATGGGAACTTCTTTTGCCACGCAGGTGCTGTGGTTTTGAGTGTGTCACTGACAGATGCACATGCCCCTAAATCTCTCTCCATCTGTCACAGAGCCCACCATGACAGATGCATGCCTTTGAAAAAGACTACCCATCTCTCATGTTTTGCTTTTGAACTCTATGCCTCTATCTGGAGAAGTCAGACATGGATCCAAAGTCAACCATTATTTTAGAACACAGTACTTTAGTAAGAATCAGCTAGTAAGGCCATAAGGGGACCAAACAGGTAACAATTAAATTGTGATGAAGGGTGGACAAGCGGAATGTCTGGAACCACCCTGGTGAACTCTAAATTGTCAGGGCTCACACCCACAGCACTTGGTGCCTGGAGCAAGGGAGATGCCATAGTGGAGAAAGGAGAGATGGCCTTAGAAACATTGACTCACATCACATTTTTCAAAAGCCTGCTCTGCTTTGCAGGCAGAAGGGCAGGGGTAGAAATTGGGCTGGAGTTCTCCTCTAACTCTAAACACCCCTCTAGCTCTCACGTGGCTTTCTGCCTTCCTCCTTTTCAAGCCACACAGATTGTAGATCCCAGAGAAGCAAGAAGATGGTTAAACATGGAATCAGGCACCTTGTATAGCTAATTGACAATTTTTTAATACTCTTTAAACACTTGTTTAACTTGGAAGAGAGACTGTGCACTACAAAGGGGAAAAGCTGAGAAGGAAGATATGTAGGGAGTCCTCAGTTTCTTTTGTTGTGGTTGTGGTGGTGGTGTTTGAGACATGGTCTCATTCTGTCATCCAGGCTGGAGTGCAGTGGTGCAATCACAGCTCACTGCAGCCTCCACTTCTTGGGCTCGTTCAATCCTCCCACCTTAGCCTCCTGAGTAGCTAGGACCACAGGTGCATGCCACCATGCCTGGGTAATTTTATATTTTGGTAGAGATGGGGTGTCACTATTTGGCTAAGGCTGGTCTCAAACTCCAGGGCTCAAGTGATCCTCCCACCTTGGCCTCCCAAAGTGCTGGGATTACAGGCATCAGCCACCATGTCCACCCTCAGTTTCTTTTATTTTCCTCAGCAACTCGGTTCTTTCAACTAAGCATGGGGACTCCACTCAGGAAATCAAAACATTCATCTGCCCTTGCCCCAATCCAAGTCTCTTGTCCAAGTGTTCCTTCCAGCCACAGAGAATGCAATCTGTGAGGAGAGTTCTTGCAAAAACCCGTGTCCTTTCTTTTCTATGTCTAGTACTGTTTAGTGCCCCTTATAGATTAGGTGCTTGGGGAAATGCCCAGAAACCTCACCCCTTAATCCTTCTGTGGTTGAACGTCTGGCTATGTAATCTCAGATGCCCCCAGCCTTCATTAACCCTCACTGAACTCTCTCCCCAAGACTGCTCACTGTACATACTCCTGTCCTCAGATTTTGAGCTGTGTTAGGAGCAAAAATTCTACAAACAAGCAAATATACTAATAAATCTGAGGTAAGAGAGGGTCCTTCTAGAATTCAGAAAAACCAGTTGGGAAGACTTGTAATCCAGCAATTTACAAAGAGCCTGGCATATAGTATATGTTCACCAAGTACTTGTTGAAAGAAAATTAACGAATGAATGAGCCACTGTGGCAAGAGGGTAAAGGATGATATGCTGTCTATCTACAACTGTAACTGAAGCTACATTCCTTTATAATTTGGCTCTATCATGATCTGTTTTTTAACAATTACTGATGTTGAAGTGCATTTTTTTGACATATGACACTAAGGAGTGGTGCTGGAAAACAAAAGACTTTCTGTGCCTTCTCATTTCCACTGGTCTCTTGGTTTGGCCTTGGGTAAACCCATGTGATATTTCTGAGTAGACAACAATGCCCAGGTTTAAACCGAACGCCAGCTATAAAATCCTCATATCAGTGTGCTCCTCTTGCCACTGACACATGAACTGGGAAAAAGGCAGGTTTAAACTCAGCTGATGGTAGACGTGCAAGTAAACCAGTAGCCACCTCTTTTTCCCAGCACCCTTGGGGGCATCATGTGGCTTTGCCATCAGCTCACCAGACTGTGCTCAAGCTGAAGTGTACATCACCTAAAATCAGCTTTCCAATTGGTTCCCCTTAAATGAACCTCAATACCCCCGCTGTGTGAACATGTGGAGTTCCTGACAAAGATGTTTATGAGATAGGAAATGCACCACAGGACACTCTGAATTTGCTTTTGGATAGAATGAAACTTAGAACAAATGCAACATGAGATACACATTATAGGCTGACTTAGACTATTAACCAAAAACTCTCTTAGATGCACACAGAAAGAACAATGATAGCTGATTTCTATAATTATAACCCAGAGAGTCTGCGAAATTCTGAACTATCTTCTGAATCTTCAAGCATGGTGTGGTTTTAGTTCATCTCTTTTAATATATTTAAATTCTTTGGAAAATCATTCTATTCTATAATGGCAATGTCTTATTAACTATAATATCTGGGTAGTTATAATATAAAAATAAAATTCTGCATAAGAAAGAACGGACTGATTCCCTGGTTCCCTATATAAGGAAAAGAGATGAAACTTACAGAACTCCCTAAGCTTATTTCTGGTAGTAGAAAAACTCAATCACAATTACATAAGTGGAGAGGTTTATAAGAATTACATAAGTGGAGAGGTTTAAAGGGAAGCAACATGTTGTCAAGACAGAACATTTTTAATATCTTGACAAGGCACTCTTCCCAGTTCTCCTTTGGTCATGACATTAACCGTAGGCAAACTAATGAAGAATTGACTATTAATTTATCTACCTTTAGATGCTTTCTTGGAAATTCTTTTGTGTGTAGCTCCGTCTCCCTATTTCCTAACCCAAAATTAAAATCTCAATCCATACAACCTGGGACAGAAAAATAACTTGGGGCAAGCAGATTCTCTGGCTAGGGGATTCCTTGAAATAATAAATAATGAGCAAGCCAGATGCTTAAGAGTGAAAAATGAAGTTGTAGGTTATGATTTAAAGAGCAATTGAGAAGTTGGCGGAGATGTCATGATGGATCATATTCAAGTGAGGGTATGAGGGAGTGGAAACTATGAGCAAACATACACTCTGGTGATGAGGTTATACGTTTATTTAAACTACAATTCCACTATGCAGACAAAATATAACTTCTTTATTTGATTTAGAACAGCCTTAATCTTGTTAATGAGCCCCACCCACTGGGTAACAAAAAGAACAAAACAAAGCAAAATGCTTTAGTCTAGTTCTTAGCTTGAAGCAATAATTTTGACATTCTTAGGTATTACTCAGTTTTTTAGAATCTTATTTCTTTTCCTTCTCTGTGTCAATGTGATGTCTGGGTAGGGCAGATTAGAGTTTATATGATCTTGTGGCTTTGAGGGGAAAGAGGCCCAAATGCCATTTAATATTCTTTGTCTCCTCTAGTCTCCACAGCCATGACCTTGAACAGCTGCTCATGGCTGGCCCCGCTGGTACTCATAGCTACAATTGGCAGCTGGTACCACTTGCGATCTAGCCTCTCGTAGCTTGGGCGGTGGCTGATGGCCTTCCCTGGCTCATGTGGCCTCACTGCACTTTACTGATGTGAATAACCCTTCCTAAAGGGATGTGCCTCCCATTTGTCTGTCACAGCATCAAAACACACTTACTGAGAAATAGAGCTCCCCAAATTCTGTTTCCTCTACATTGAATCCATGTCACTGGAGCACCAAAAGCTGACTCAAAAACTAAAACATCAGGAAGTTGATCTCACCTCATGGCACCTCCAGGTGGACAACTTGAAGAAGTTGTCCCAGAGGTGCAGAGGGCAACATGGGAAGTGACTGCCTCCTAGAGTCCCAGGCATGGATTGGAGCAAAATGCTCATGCCACTCCAGTACCCCAAATTACCTGGATGTTCCTAAAGCTGCCCACTGCCCTTGAAGTTTGGCCTTGAGGTAGTGTTGGGAGATAAGAGGAAGTTAGTCTTTCCATCTCTGCCTCTCTCCTTTTTCCCACAGTGCTTCAGGCTAGAAAGGGTGGGGTTTTCCTTGTCTTCACCTGCATCTTACCATCCTTTCACCATCACTAGTTAAGCCTTGTGACTAAGCCGTATTAGATAGAAAGAGTATCATCTCGACAGGGACTCTAAGATTGCTACCTGCACCTTCGCTGACCATGCTGTCCCGGGTGGTACTTCCCGCCGCCGCCACAGCGGCCCCGTCTCTGAAGAATGCAGCCTTCCTAGGTCCAGGAGTATTGCAGGCAACAAGGACCTTCCATACAGGGCAGCCACACCTTGCCCCTGTACCACCTCTTCCTGAATATGGAGGAAAAGTTCATTATGGACTGATCCCTGAGGAATTCTTCCAGTTTCTTTATCCTAAAACTGGTGTAACAGGACCCTATGTGCTCGGAACTGGGCTTATCTTGTATGCTTTATCCAAAGAAATATATGTGATTACCGCAAAGACCTTCACTGCCATGTCATTAATAGGGATAATGGTCTATGGAATTAAAAAATATGGTCCCTCTGTTGCAGCATTTGCTGATAAAATCAATGAGCAAAAACTTGCCCAACTAGAAGAGGCGAAGCAGGCTTCCATCCAGCAAATCCAGAATGCAATTGATATGGAGAAGTCGAAGCAGGCACTGACTCAGAAGCGCCATTACCTTTTTGATGTGCAAAGGAATAACATTGCTATGGCTTTGGAGGTTACTTACCGGGAACGACTATATAGAGTATATAAGGAAGTAAAGAATCGCCTGGACTATCATATAGCTGTGCAGAACATGACGCGTCGAAAGGAACAAGAGCACATGATAAATTGGGTAGAAAAGCACGTGGTGCAAAGCATCTCCACAGAGCAGGAAAAGGAGACAGTTGCCAAGTGCATTGCGGACCTAAAACTGCTAGCAAAGAAGGCTCAAGCACCCCCGGTTATGTAAATGAATCTATCCCAATTGAGACAGCTAGAAACAGTTGACAGACTAAATGGAAACTAGTCTATTTGACGAAATCTTTCTGTATTGATGTCTACTGAAGTTATAGTTTACCCTTCCTAAAAATGAAAAGTTTGTTTCATATAGTAAGAGAACAAAATCTCTATCGGCCAGTCAAATGTTTCTCATCCTTCTTACTCTGCCTTTGAGTTGTTCCATGATCACTTCTGAATAAGCAGTTTGTCTTTATAAAAACTTGCGGCCTGACTAAAGATTACCAGATTATAGTTTAAATTTGCAATTAATTCTACCATCTTGCAATAAAGTGACAATTGAATGAAAAAAAAAAAAAAAAAGAAAGAAAGAGTATCATCTCTATACCCCAGGAGAAATTCTATGATCTGATTCATCCAAGTTAGTTCCTGAAATTCTAAAAGGGATTTTGAAAATTCTTCCTGTCATCCAAGCCTGGTTTTCAAGCCCATTATTTTCTTGCAGGACAAGGGGGTTTCATGGCTTAACCTGCAAAGAATATAATTTGAGAGGGAAAAGAAAATACATTCAAGAAAAAGGTGGAAAGGTAGAAAATTGCAAAGAATAGGATTTGAGGGGGACAAGAAAATACATTCTTTTAATATTTGCAAAGTATTCGCTCATTACCTATCAAGAATAGAAACTATATTTGTAAAGGGTAGGGAATTTGTCAGAAGTGAGAGGACTGCCATTCAGACACATGGAGTGGAGTTAAGGCTGTGATTGGTAGGGACTAAAATGAAACAGCAAACATCTTACTAGAGCCATTTAGGTTACAGAGGACTCTCTGGTTACCGTCTCTCTGGAGCCTCCTTTTGTTAGTTTATTTGGCTTTTCCTGTGTTCCCATGCTTGTGTACAAATCTTTAATTACTTAAGTGCATTTCTGTTCCTTAAAACCAAAATAACTGAACGAACATAAGCATTCACTTAAGACTTTTATATTCCACAATGTATACATTGTGCACACGAGTGTCACTAAATCCCATTTCCTGTTCCCTGTAAATGTCCTAATAGCCTCAGATTCTGGCTGCCACACCCCCAGGTCACCACCATATCGCCCTAGCTGGCTGACCTGACTCCAGGCTCTCTCTGCGGTTATCCTGCCATCCTTGCCCCTTTAGTCTCCCTGAAACTCCACTGTCACTACATCCTCTCCTGCTCTGAGACTTACACATTGCTCTTCACCCTCCTCCCAGTCATTGCAAGTTGGATTTGCCTCAGTGCAGTTTCCAGGCTCTGCCCATTTAAAAGAATCCAATTTCCCACTATGCTCAACCTGCCTGCACCTTAGGCAGGCCAAAATCAAAACTGGCCTGCAAGAGGAACACCTGTCTGTGCTTGCTCTCTCATTTTCTGCAGTTCCTCAATGGTTTTTGCCCCTGTCTACTGCTAGTCTAAATCTAACCCATTTTTCTAAGCTTCCTCAAATCCTATTTATTTTCTTTACTCTGAACTGTTAGTTACTCTAGGCCGTGCTAGTGTCGAGCTTAATTATATTTCATCTTTGGATAACAGGTATCTAAAGCTAATTTTTATTGATCACCTTTTATGGGCCAAGTGCCTTCCCAGGATAGCTCATTTGAGCTGCACTCCACCCCTGTGAGGTGGGCACAATGATGCACATACTGGAAATGGGGAAATGGAGCCTCCTGGTGACTAAGTAACTTTCCTAAAGTCATACAGGTGGTAAGTGGATGGAACTAAAATTCACACCATGAAATTAGATTGCAGAGGCTAAACTTGTTAATGTTGGCATACTGCCCCCAGAGAATCACTGCTTCCAATTTCAAGTGTCTTCATCTTATCTCCCCAACTAGATGGTAACTATGCTGGCAATAATATGGGCAGGATCATGAATTATCTGTTTTCTGCAGCCTCCTAAGCAAGCACATACAAGACCCTTGAATGGTTATCTCCCCCTGACTGGTCTCTCCCATTGAATCACCATTATCTCCAATATAGAGCAACATGGTCTTTACATTTGAGGCTTATTCAGATTCTGTTAAGTTTGAATGCTGCACTTCTTATCTTTCCTCCCATGAATACTCTGTGAGCCCCTGGATGGCCAAGGTGCTGACCGCCAAAGGTAGGAGGCATCTGGATGCTCTCCCAGAGACTCTACTTCTCTCTCTCTGCCCATCTGCCAGGTTGACTTCTGATGTCATGGGACTCATCATCACGATGACATGCCCTTTTGCAATGTCAGGGTGCACAGTGTTCCTAAATCCACCTTCCAGACAAACCAATCCCAAAGGCGTTCATGAGTAGGATTATAGCCTGCAGAAGGTGTTCCCCGACCAGCTCCCCTGAGGCTGGGCTTTTTGTACAGTGTTGAAAGGAGATCCCTAAGATTTCTCATTTAAATGCTCCCCAACCCTGTGATTTATTTAGAGAGAAACCAGCTGCCCCAGTGAGAGCAGAGAAATGGATAGTTTGTGACCAGATTTTAAACATTAGAGCTTATGCCTTCAAAGGGTAGTTTCCCAAGGGGATCTCTCTTCCTGTTCCTAAATGAAAAGCTACAAGCATTTAGGGCTGCCTTAAGATGTGGTGAAATGAGGCTTTGAGACTGTCAACATTTGGCTTTGCTCTTTGCAGAGGGTGTTGGGGAGCTTCACAGGCCCAGGTCTGGCAGGAAAAGGCTCGGCAGGGGCCTCTTTGTTGTGAGAGGACTTGGGGTGGAAATCACTCGTTTCCTCCAAAGGCCTCCTCCCCACCAACAGTGTGGCTCCTCCCTTCCTCTCCAGCATCCTCGCTGGCCTCTCCAGTCTCTCTGCTTTCCCTCTCCCGCCCAGTGTCCTCCTTGGGAGGAAGAAGAGAACAAAGTACATTCGAAAAGGCCTCCCTCTTTCTTCCTGTAAGGTTACCCCAAAAAAGTCTCCCCAATGGAGTGCAGGTTTCTTGTTATACCAAGGGTTGGCTGCAGACACTAGAAGTAATTCCATCAGTGACGACATGACAAGATCATTTAAGGATCCCCTTAAAAGCCCTGTTGTTTGTCTAAATTTCTGCCCACAGCTGTCTGTTTAAGAAACCTCACAAAGACACCATGAAATCCTGTTTGTTTTCAACCTTTAATCAATGCTAATCCCAGAGGATAGGAAGGTGGAGCTTGTTTTAAGACGGGGGAAGGGCAGCGTCTGTGATCATGACACACATCAGACGCTTCCCCTTCTAGACATGTCAGGGGATGTGATGGCTTATGGGAGGTGCTCTGGAATAAAAGGGAGGGGGTTGTTCTTCCCTGGCCGGCTTTTATCTTTAATTGTCAACACTCCTGGCCTGCAGAGGATTGAAAAGAAAACACTGCACAGGCCTAAATCAGTCAGAGTAGCAGGGAAGGCGTGAGATCCTCCACACTCAGGATTTAAGTCTCTTCCTGCAAGTGGGGAACTTTGTTCTATGCCTGGCCCACCTGTGCCTACTTCAAAATGGTCCTGGACTTGGCCCCTGGTCTGCAAAGAATGAAGTGAGGCAACATCACTTGACCCCTAAATCACTGAAGAAATGTATGCCTACCCAAGGAAATGTGATTCCTGGAAGTCCAGATTTATAAAGGTAAGATTAAGTCAGGGATTAGATAGGCTTTTTGTTTTCCTTGAGAAACATGAAAGGATGCCTTAAAATGGTGTCTCCCAACCAAGGGCATTTGAAATACGGTCTGATTTTTAAGAATTTGATCCTCAAATTCCTGGCAATAGAATCATATTCAGTGCGGGGGAAGTGGGAGAGGGAACTCATTTACTCATTAACTACATCTATGCAATTCCAATATCAGATGGGAAAGCAAAAATTCTCAGGACAGAAAAAGATTCACTAATTAATTGACCACTTATGTAATTAGTTCTCGTTTAATCATAAGTTTCCACTTATGCTGTTGTCTACTCTCACACGTGGCACCAAGATCTTTGTTGGTCACTCCCATGAGGTCATTCATACAATGCAAATCAAATGCAAATGGATGGCAACAAAGTGAAATTGCATATCCTACAAAAGATGTAGGCTTTCATCCAACTTGGATGAGGACATAATTTGAGCTTCAAAAGAGAGTGATTTGAATATCAGAGAATTAAAAGAGACTCTTGGGGAAATGAGTGAAGTCCTTTAATATTTTTGCAAAAATGACCCTCTCATGACTGTAGCAAAAATCAGTGTAAAGTAAAGGAGATCTCAAAATTTTGCCAGCAAACTTAAGTCAAAAAAATCAACATTTAATTCACTTCCTGATTCTAAAATTAGCAATTGATTATAACGCTAACATTCTGGTAAATATAAAATAAATACTAAATTATTTTATACCTTTAATTTTTAAAAATAAAATTCAATCAATATTTTCAAAACACCATTTATTGTAAGAAAAATACTTCTTGTTTCAAGTGATTATGAATTTTTAAAATATCAACTATCCTTGAATAATGAGGACAATCTGTGGTTATTATTTCACATATATTATTTCATTTATTGCTCACAGCCACCCTGTTAGGCTGAGCAACTATTAGCACTATTTTTACAGGTAAGAAAATTGAGGCCTTGGGAGGTGATTTGAACAGTATTACAAAGTTAGTAAATATTAGCTTCAATTAGATAGGCAATGCAATTATTCTTATTTTGTAAAGGAGAAAATTCTGTTTCCAGCAGGTTCAATGACTAACCCTTGGGCACATGGCTAGTAATATTAGTCACATTCCAACCCAGATCTTCTGTCCCCAGATCAAGGCTTATTCTATTATAGCCACCAAATTTATTTACAAATAAAAATAGCCAAGCATGATGTAACCAAAGTTTTAAGAGCTAAAGATGTTAAAGGGAACCTCTAGTGTATTCAGAAAGCAGGGTTCTGTTGCAACCTCCATTGAGAGAAAGGGAGGGGTAATCCCTCTTAAAGTGTATGTTTAATTCATTTTAGATTGAGTTAAATTGGCACTTCAGTCATGAGTACAGCAGGCTATATTCTTCTTCAGTGACCCATTTGCCAAAAGTACCACAGCAATTAAACACTAAGCAAATACATACATAGGTAAGATAAAAACAGCACTCAGATGTTGAAAGCCTAAATTTATCCAGCACACTTAAGCCTAGTATAGCAAAGCATATGTGGTATCTGTTTTTATTAATGGATTTTTATTTCTGGCTTCTTTTTCCCTTTCAGCTTTGGTAATGCTAGATGTATGTACAAAAATCTAGATATCTATCCAGAAATTGGCACTTTAGTACTCATGAGTTGATACAAACAATATAACTAGGGCCATTATAATGTTAAGTGAATTTCCAACAAATAGAGTTAGAAATCCAATTATCTTTCCATAGAAAGCTTTTGTGTG